CTGATGCTAGGGGCTTAAGTGGAGAGCAGATTTTTTGAGAATGATGAGGGCAATGAATGTACAAATTTACTTTACACAATTGGTGTATGGATGGATGGGGCTAAGAGTTGTATGATCCCTTAATAAAATGATTTTTTTTAAAAAAAGAAGGTGGCATTTATAGATTTTTCTGCTTTCCGCTTCAATTGGATTACCTATTTGCGATTTCCCTATTAGATATGATTTCGCCACCTTTTTTAGTGTTTAAATCTCTCTTTAAAAATTTAAAATTCTCCCTTTTGTCTTTCTGCAGAAAGGGGAGGCTGACTTTTATCTGAAAGGATGGAGGGGCCAGAATACTCACATCAGCCCTGTGAGCTGTTCAGTTGGGCCAGCACGGAGTGTCACTATTTTTTTTAATCATTTTATTGGGGGCTCGTACAGCTCTTGTAACAATCCGTCCATCCATCCATTGTGTCCAGCACATTTGTACATTTGTTGTCATCATCATTCTCAAAACATTTGCTTTCTACTTGAGCCCTTGGTGTCAGCTCCTCATTCTAGCCCCTGGAATATCACAGTGCCACATCTTCTCTAGCACTGCCCCTCTGCCTGCTTGCCCCTTCTTGCTGGCACCTGAGCCAGGAACACTGGGCCCTTCCGAGCTCCACAGCAAGAATTCCCGTCGGAGCTCCGCAAAAAGCCTCTCATGGCTTTTTGGGAAGAAGCCTTGTGGGGCCCTGATTGCCTCCGGTGCCTGCTCGCCACACCTAGGCCTGCCATGCACCGGCTGCCTGTCCTACGGTGACAACCCACGCAGCTTGCCATCCCCGGAGCCCTCCAGCCCAGTGGCGCTGGAGTTGGGAAATGGGTGTGATGAGGAGTTGACTTGGAAATACAGCCCCAAGGGCGGCTGTGCTTCCAGCTGCCCGCCCTGTGCTTTGCTGGAGCGTGGGGACTGTGCTTGCCTGTCACGGCGGGTGGTTCCTTCCTTCCTCAGTGCCCCTGACGTTTCCATCCCCGGTTCTCCCTGGGCATCCCGGGAAGACCCCGCGCTCTGCCCACAGGAGCCTTGACTTTCTTCTCCTCCCCTCCAGGAACTCCCCTGATGAATGCAGCGTGGCGAAAAGCGGCAAGATGGTGGGCAGCCCAGACACGGTGGGGATGAATTACAGCAGCTACATGGAGGAGAAGCACATCCCACCCCCCAACATGACCACGAACGAGCGCAGAGTTATCGTCCCGGCAGGTCAGATGCTCGCCCTGACAGTTCACCCTGTGAGCAAGCCACACCCATGCCAAGAGGGTGGGCGACCTTGGTTTAATTCTGTAGCTGGAGCCAGTGCCACCCAGGCCAGGTGCTCACAATTCTGTGGTAAAATGAGAAAAGCAAAAGCACATGCCCACTCACACACACATACATTTACCTAGAGAGGCACAGTCACATAGGTATACGTTCTCAGGCACGTATACACATACATATGTACGTGTGTATATACACGTATACATATACCTAGTGTGTATCTATGCAAACTTCTGAGCAAATGCACATGCACATTCATATACACATGTTTATTGTGAGGGTAGTCTAGGAAAAATACATGTGCTCTTGTGTCTCATATATACATCTGAATGTGTGTATTATACATATATATGTAGGTATACATGTATACAGAGTGGTCCAGGTGGACACACATTTAGCATATTTGCAAACACACACACATCCCTAGGTGGCGCAAATGGTTTACGCTCCACTGCTAACCCAAAGAACGATATGTTGTTGATTTCCAGCCAACGAATAGATTTTGGACATGTCCGCAGAGACCATTCTTAGAGAAGGACATCATGTCTGGTAAAATAGAGGGGCAGCAAAGGAGAGGCAGGCCCTCAAGGAGATGGACTGGCAGCAGAGTAACAGTTGTGAGGATAACGAGCTGTGTTTTGTTCCGTTGTGCATGATAAGGTCACCAGGAGGTGGATAGAGCTGACCCAATGGCACCTAACAACAAAACAATAATGGTAACCATGGAAGATACTCTTAAACTCACTGCTCTCGAGTTTATTCTGGCTCATAGCAATCCTATAGGACAAGGTAGAGCTGCCCGATTGGTTTCCAACACTGGAGCTCTTGCTGAGAGTAGAAGCCTCGTAGTTCTCGGGCAGAGAGGCTCTTGGTTAGCAGCCCAACATGTAGCCCACCATCCCCTACTATATCCCCAGGGCTCCTCACTATCGAAGAGGATGATCGTACCTGATAATCCGCTTCCACTAAGACTGCAACCAACACATCCCTAGAGAGTAGCTCTGCCCTGTAACTCCTGGGGTCACCTTGAGCCAGAGCTCAATGGCAGTTACAGACAGCAAGACATGTACGCATAGATGCACTGTGTTCTGTCCAATGCACACGTACACGTATACACATACATGCACACATACCTGTATATAAATCTACCTGTATACACATGGGCTCACACACTTGCATATATATGAGAAATGTATAAGCATAATCAAGCCTGATGATCATGCATTATATAGTAATACATTATAATAATTTATAATATATAGAGAGGTCCCTGAAGGGTGACCTTTTAGGGAGCAATTGCCCTCATTTCTGAGGTAATTTGTACTAAATATCCTTTATTTTGTAAAAAGCTATTTATAATAGAAGGTAGTAGTCTTTATTTTAAATTTTTCAAATCTGACAAAAAGTTGAGAGTCATACATGGCTCTATCACATGTTCTTAAAACTTCAAACTTCTAGGTAATTCTGGCCAGTAACAGATTCTGAGAGCTAGAATAATTCTTTCCAACAGACATTTCTGTGAAAATGTACAGTCTCAGAAACCCTATGGAGTAGCTCTACCCTGTCGTGTGAGAGCCCTAATTGACCTGATGGCAGGGGATGGGTGACATTTTTGGCGGTGATAGAGTGATAGGCAGAATGACATTTCACTTCTCAGAAGAAGCGTACCTCATAGAACTATCCCACCAACAGTGGTTACTGTTTAGTGATCCCATGCTCCATATTCTTTTTGTAAAGCAAATTTATAGACATCTCATGCAATCTTGAGTAATAGTTATCATTATGAATTTTTCAAAAAAAAATCTCACTGCTGTGAAGTCACTTCTGATCCATGGTTACCATATATCACAGAGTAGAATGGCCTCTGTGGATTTCCAAAGCTGTCAATCTGTGTGGGGCCTCATCTTTTGTTCTTGGATCAGCTGGTGGTTTCAAACTGCAGACCTGATTTGTAGTAGCCCCTTATACCAGTTGGGAAAAATGCAGATCAGAGTGGTCAACTGATTTTTGTAGGGTTGTACAGCCAACAAGAGGCTCCGTTAGAACTCAAACAGTTCTGCCGACCTCTTCCCTCTCTTCCTGTCAATGTTGAATTAAATCCCAGTTCCTTAGAGTGGGCCTCTTGGTTTCTTTCTGGTCACTCCTGCTAGCAGGTCTGCCTCGGAATTCAACTTACTGTTACCTCAGCCCAGACATTTTGAATGCCGGAAAGTTCCATACCTCTTTTCTTCATGCAGGGCTCTGTACAAACATGACCTCCCCAGAGAGGCCTTTCTTGACTGCCTGTTTAGAGTTGTTCCACCTTCACCTTGTGACTCTCAGCCTTCCCTGTCTTTTTTGGGTTTTTTTTGCCTTCATTAAATGTATTCCACTGATCGTTAGATGATATGTTTATATGACAGTTTACTTGTTAAGTTCTTCCCTCTGTAGAATATAAGCTTCTCAAGGGCAGGGGCTTTGCCGGCTTCTTCCCTGCTCCATCCCAGCATCAAGAATTCTACCAGTAAACCATGACTGCCGTCAGTGATGACCATGGTTACTATGCTATACTCCTCACTAGGCGGTGTGCTTTGAACAGGCACTTCTCAGAGGGTAACATAATTGAATATCATTGTGAAAGGTGCCTATCCTAGCTTTGGGGTGTTTTAAGAAGTCTAGGAAACAGAGACCTGGGAATGCTGGGGAGGCAATGTTGCCCTCTACATTAACTGGACATGGACATGAAACCCAAAGGAACTCTGCCCAAGCCTATCTCACCCTTTGCCGTCCTTCTAAATTTCTTTAATGGAGTCAAACCCAAGGTTTTCATTTTTTTTAAGATGAGCGAATCCATCTGCAGAGAGGTCCAGACTGAAGATTCTTGTCTGGTAATTTGTAGACTCACAGAGCTACTGGGTGAACTTTGATACCACCTCCATCTCTGTAACAGATAAGGCTACTTTTCTATGATATCATCAGTATGCTCGGAGGTCATGAATATCCTCCTGCAGAGATATTACAAGTGAGATAAAGTCATGTTTGCATGGAGAAGAAGAGATCTAATTTAATCAAATCATAACATCCAGCATTTCTTATATAGAGAAGAGATTCCTGTAATGTTGGCTGGCTGGTTCACTGGAGGGATGGATGGGTAGATATGTATGTTTTTTGTGTAAAGGATGATTTCTTGTCCTGAGCAATGTCCTTATTTAGCTGTTCCCTCTCCCAGTTGCTTCATTCCAATGCAGGCAGTTATTCAGTTGATGGTATTTGTAAGAGAGCTTGTTGTGGCTGATTTTGCAAGCTGTGAATCTTTCAGTTATTGGTCAAGATTTATGTACTTGTGCTGTATACTAGCACACAAGCACACACACACACACACACACACACACACACACACCTTCATTGCACCATCTGGAAAATTCGCTAGTGTGGTTGTGAGGTTGCAGGACCTAAGGGCAGCGCTGTCTGCTGCTCCATTGTACATTCAGTGTAGGATCCAGGTTCCTTATCCAGGAACATGTGGGCATGGGGTGGCATAATGCTTCATATACTCAGACAGAATCGTGCAGATTTGGCTCCTAATAATTAGATATGCTGATTTATACTCGTGCATGCAAATCATGAAGATACCTGAATGAAACAATAAATTAAGCCAATAAACTCTTCCTAAACATTTAAACCATCAATCTATATACTGACTTCCATGTTCTAAACTGTTTACCACTGGCCCTAATGCCAACAGAAAGGTGAATATATCAACTGATAGGTGAAGAAGACAAGGCAGGTATTCATTTCTGTTCAGATTGAGTTCTTGTACTTGCATCTTCATTTTCAGGGGTGATGGCCTTCACCCTGGTTTCTAGTCCCAGTATCACCAGGAAACTAAAGAGCTCTATAAACTCACTGCCATCAAGTCAGTGCTGACTCACAGAACCCCCGTGGGTTTCCAAGACTGTAACTGTTTCCAGGAGTAGAAAGCTCAGTCTTTGTGGAGCTGCTGGTGATTTTTAATTCTGCGCTTTTAAATCTTGCAAGCTTTTAAGGCCTGCACAGTTGCAACGTCATTCCACTCATCAGGAAGTGTCAAGGAGATTCTTCAATGAGTTACAGGAGTAAACCAGCCAATGTGAGAAAAAGGTCTCCCCCCTTCCTTGGATTGTCATATGAAAGAACGTTAATTGTCATGCTAAAGAATGTTAATTCTTAATCAGCGGGGCCACTTGACATTTGGGGCAGTCCTTGTTTACACTCCTTGTCCTTGCAGGTCATTGCTTGTGCCACTCCCTCTCAAAGTGCCCTGGGGAGACAGTAAATCCCATTTCCATTTGTCATCTCTCTCTATTCTTGGTGCATAACTAGACATACGAAAGAAGTCTAGGTGACACACATGATTTGTGCTCAACAGTTGCCCAAAGGTTGACACTTGGGACCCACCAAATAATGCCCTGGGAGAACAGCCAGTTGTTCCACCTCCATCAAGTGTACAGCCAAGAGATCCCCACAGGCCAGTTGTGCTGTGTAACACATGGGGTCCCCCTGAATGGAAACGGACTTGACAGCAACTGGGTTTTTGGTGGATTGCTTGGGACTGGGCTGTTTCTCATAATGTTGAGGATCCAAGTCTAAGGGATTGAAATACCTTCTAACTGCCTGGAGTCCAAGGGCTTTCGGTTGTTCCAGCGTAACTTAAAGATTGGCTAGAGAGAATTTATCAAAACATGGACATAATCACTCAGATCAGGATTACCTGGAAAATGAGTAATCTTAAAAGCACTTTTGCAAAGTTCTTGACTCTGGGGTATCTGCATTTGTAACGAGCTCCTCATGTGATTAAGGTTTGAGTTGATCCAAGTAGATAGTTGATCTAATTAGAAAGAAATCACCATATAAACTTTAAGTTATGGTAATGTGTATGTAATACTTTCATGTTTTAATAAAATCAACACCAAGATATTAAAGCATTA